CAAAAAGTGGCGCTGGACTACGCTGACGTGGTGAAGGGCACCCACATTGAGACGACTCTGGCAGTCTCTCACCGTTGTCGTCCCCCCGAAATGAATCTTATTTCCGATCGGTGATGTTGTTGCGGTCTCCATGAGACCTGCGACTTCCATCAATCATCTTGTCCATAGCGTATTCCCCAAGGTTTATTTAGGTAGAGGAAAACGGTATTTTGAAGTTGGATTGTACCGTCGGTTGGTAGGTCCCGTACACCATGGCAACCTGATCCACACGCCGGAACAACTCCGTGCTCCGATTACTTTTTTCGGCGGGCAAGAAATTTGTTTGCAGTATATCCCGGGGCTGCTTCTCCCATTCTCTTCTCCGTAAAACTCTTCTCGTTTCGAGATCGAAAAAAGTGATATACCATTTCAGTACGTCCGGTCATTCCTCTGCCTTGAGCACTTGAGCACTGGATAGGGTCGATTCCGCATGGTACGGGACCCCTCTCGCCTCTGCCTTGGCGCTTGGGAGAAATTGTCAGAGTGGTATCCTAACAGTTGCCATCGGGACGGTTTTTCCTCCCTCATGGCAGCGGGAGGCTGACATTTTAACGGCCGGGCACCCACCCTTCAAATCTTAAATTCGGCGGACCTGTTCGTCAACTCACAACGAACAACAAACTCTCTCTCTCCCAACGAACGAGCAAACAAAAAAAACGGCCGGGGTGGGGCGCGCGCGGGGGCGGCGGGTGTGCGGCGGGTGTGAGGGATGTCTGTGAGCCCGAGAGCGATATGCCATGTCCGCCTTGCGTTTGTTTCATAACACCGAAGAATCAAAACAAAAAAAACGCCGCCGGCCGCCCTCCACCTCGCCCGCGCCTCCGCCGCCCTCCACCTCCCCCACACCGCCGCCGCCGCCACTCACGACGCCGCCGCCCTCCACCTCGCCCACGCCGCCGCCGTCGCTCACGCCGCCGCCGCTCGCTCGCTCGCCCGCTCGCGCCTGGCTTTCTACTTCCTCGTGATCGCCCGAATCTCTCCTTCCTCGTGATCCACCCTCGCCTCACCCTCCCGCCGCCTCGCTGCTCGCTCGCCGCTTGCTCGCCCGCCCGACTTTCTACTTCCTCGTGATCCGAACCGCCACCACCCTCGCCTCGCCCTCCCGCCGCCTCGCCACTCTCGCTCGCCGTTCGCCGTTCGCTCGCCCGCTCCCGACTTTCTACTTCCTCGTGATCCATCTCGCCGTTCGCTCGCTCGCTTGCGCTCGACCTCCTACTTCCTCGTGATCCACCGCCGCCACCCTCGCCTCGCCCTCCCGCCGCCTAGCCGCTCGCTCGCCGCTCGCTCGCACGTTCGCGCTCGACCTTCTACTTCCTCGTGATCCACCGCCGCCACCCTCACCCCCGCCGCCTAGCCGCTCGCTCGCCGTTCGCTCCCCCGCTCGCGCCAGACCTTCTTCCTCCTCGTGATCCACCCGCCGCCGCCCTCGCCTCGCCTTCCCGCCACCTAGCCGCTCGCTCGCTCCTATCCGTCCCACGCCTATCCGTGATCCTGCCGCTACCGCGCCGTCCTTGCTCCTCCCTGCCGTGCCGCTCCTTCCTCCGTGCCGTGCCGCCCTTGCCGTTTAGCCCGCCGCCCCCCCTGCCGTCCGTTACCGCCGTGCCGCCGTACCGCCCACGCCGCCGCCGCCCTCCACCCCCTCCACACCGCCGCCACCGCTGCTCACGCCGCCGCCGCCCTCCACCTCGCTCACGCCGCCGCCGCCCTCCACCTCGCCCGCGCCTCCGCCGCCGCTCACGCCTCCGCCGCCTTCCATCTCGCCCACGCCTCCGCCGCCCTCCACCTCTCCCATGCCGCCCCCCCCGCCCTCCACCTCGCCCACCCCTTTGCCACCACCCTCTCCTTCGCCGCCCCTTGCCCCCACCGTCCTCCACCTCCACCCCTCGCCCTCCCCCCCGCCCTACCGAACCACCCGCCGCCCGCCCATGCCGACTTCCGCCCTCCCGCCGCCCTCCCCCCTTTCTGCCCCTCCGCCTTCGCCATCCCCCATCTGTGCATTCCACTCCGTTCGCTCCCTCCCGCTTGGCGCCCATCCCGCCCTCCGCCCTCGCTCTCCGCCCCTGCCCTGGCTGGCCTGGGTGGCATCTCCCCATTATCACGCGCCAAGTGGGAGGGAGGTGGACGGGGCCCTGAGCCGACCTAGCCCTAAACGGAATGGGGCGCCCAACACGTGCCCGGATTACTGTGCCTTCCCCGGGTGCAGCCTTTCGGCTCGTGAAGGGTCGGTGCGTGTCGTGATCCCCTGGAACACCCGTACTCTCCCGCGCCATCTCCGTCGCCCTCTTCGGCTGCGGCCTTACCACCAAGATCGGGAGGCGGCCAGGGCTCATAGACTCGGTCGAGAGACCCCAGATTGGCATCCATGCCTCTCTGGACAGGGTGGCCCGCCACAACGACCCCTGGAATTGCGACTCGCCGCTTTCCTCCCGCTGTGATTCTGTGTGAGCTCTGTGTCTTGATTTGCCAACAGTATACATACACACGTATTCCATGGAATACGCCGTATTCCAAGCTCCCAAAATGGACGTATTCCGTATAAAATTTTCTTCGCTCCGCGAATTCAGACAGTAGGTTCCTCACCCCTCCGGACTCCCTCCCACCTGTCCTCCCACTAAGCACCTCCCCTCTGTGCATCGCAGAGCCCGCCCAACAGCCCCCTTCCAGGTAAGACGTAAGACCACGGGCGCGCGCGGACAACGAGCTCCACCCCTCCCACCGTCCTCCCACATGCCTGCAACCACCATTCGTGCCAGCAGCAGTAGGGAGGGGTGTACCTTCTTGTAGGTATATTGCAGAAACGATTTTTGAGGTGTGAATACACCCCCTAGACGCGACGCCCCCCGAACCAACGGGCCAGACCCTTCCAGAGGGTGCCCCAGGGACTCCCAAAACCGCCCCACAACGCTAGCCGAAAAGAAAGAAAGAACGCGTCGCGCGAACGCCGAGCGATGCACGCCGACCTGTCGGTCCCGCTCTCGTGCCGATCTTCCGAGGCGCCAGCGGCCGATGGGCATTGCTCCGCCCACCTCCCTTCGCCTCACCGCACTGTGCACATTGGCAGGCGCTCGCGGAGCTGCAGGCACTCGGCTACGCTGTCGTCTGCTGGACCACCGAGGCGGGCGGCGGTAGTGTGCCAAAACCTGCGAAGCCGTTTCCGCCGCTCAGACCGCACAGGCCGCCGGGCGGCGGCGGCGGTGGCGACGCCGCTCTCTCATCCTTCACGCGGCCGGTGCACGAGTGCAGCCGGCTGACGGTGAGTCTGGAGGAGGAGAGCCACGCGTTTGCGCTCGCGGGCGCGCGCGAGGCGCTTCGGTCGTACGACGTCGTCGCCGTCGCGCCCGGCTCGGAGGCGGTGCTCGAACGCGTGCTCACTTCGCCCGCGCGCGAGCTCATCGACCTGGTGTGCCTCCCGTCTGCGCACGCGCCGCCCTTTTCGCTGCGCCCGCACGCGGCTCGGAGGGTCCTCGCCGCGGGCCTCCAGCTCGAGCTCTGCTACTCCGCCGCCTTGCGCGACGCCGCGTCGCGCCGCCACTTCTTCGCGAACCTGCGCGCCTGCCTCGAGGCGCTGCCCGGCGCGGCGCGCAAGCGCGGCGCGGCCGGGCTGGTCCTCTCGTCCGGCGCCGACGAGCCGCGCCTGCTCCGCGAGCCGCGAGACGTCGCCTCCCTCGTCTCGCTCGTCGGGGCAGGCCCGCTCGCCGGCCGCGCCGCGCTCGCCGTCAACCCATTCCGCGCGCTCGAGCGGGCCGCGAGGCGCCAGTACCCGCCGCCGCTCGCGCCGCCGCCGCCGCATGGACTCTGCTCCATCGGTCTCGTCCCCACGCGCGCCGCCGCCGCCGTCGCCGCCGCCTCCGCTGGCGGAGGCGCGAGTGGCGCTGGCGGCGAGCAGCAGCACCATCACCACCAAAAGAAGAAGCGGCGGAGATGATGCCGACTCCGTCACATCTCTTTCCCCTTTCTGCATACATAACTCTCCCGTGCCCTGTGCTCCGAAAACGCCTCCATCCACCTGTGCGTGTGCGAATCTGCGAAAATAAGCGTTAAGGATAAGGTAGGGCAGGTGCGGCTGCGCCAAGCGAAGACCTCTCAGCCCGTCAGTCCGAGTACCGAGACTAGGGACACAACCCCTCTGGGGGGAGGCGGGGGCCCCCGGAGGCACCGTGCGCCGTGCAGCAGTGCGGAAACGGGGCTCCGGCTCTACTAGTCTCTACTAGCACCGACTTCCCGAATGAGTACGGTTGAATAGAGGGCAGATTTGGAGAGATCTCGAGGAGTACCTACAGATAGACCCTCCAACGATCAGAAAACTCCGACCTGATCGGTCGTACTGACCGCCGACAGATCACTCCAGGCAGCAGACAGGCCGACGTCTGCACGCGGCCCGCCGGGCGAGAGGCCTGAGACGATCCGACCCTGCGACCCTGATGCTGCTGCTCTAGCTATCAGACATGCGCTGCTGACTGCTGCCACAATGTGCGACCTGTGCTGGCCCACTTGGCGGCCTTCCCGGTCAGTGGTGAGGCGCAGTTCAGAGCTGTCGATGGCGCGATGCCGCACTGGTCCCACATCGGTGACACGAGACCACCACGTTTGCCGGTCCAAGAGAGAGGCACCGGCGCTGTCCTGAGAAGGTGCATGGTCCCTCTTGACTGCCCATGCGCGCGAGGCTGTGTAGGCATAGCCTCGAGAGTGCCAGCAGCCAGTCGCCGAGGCAGTTTGTGACGCGCATTGCGCCAGAAGGCAAGCGTGCACACGATGGAAGGACACCTTCCTACTGGCCGTACGATCAGGTCGTCACTGAATGCCGAAGACTAAGGCCGCGAGCTATGCAGGCGGTCAGTTGAGCAGCATGGCACGGTCAACAGCGCCGAAAGGATGTCGCAAGGCGTGATAGCATGGCCGCAAGGACGCCGAGTTCCCGTGAAAAACAAGTAAAAAATCCGCGAAAAAAAATGCCATAAAATCGGCGCCTGCGGCGGGCTGGGGGACCCATCTCCCCCCAGCCCAAGGGAGGGATGGGAGAACGGCACGCCGCCACCACACAGGGATTTTAAGGAGAGGAGTGTGGTGCGCTAGCCGTCGCCCACCCTGGGGAGTCTGCCTCTTCGTATCTCTTTTCGCAGTCTCTCGCCGCTTCTCGCTGCAACCTTCATGCCATGGGAGTACCTCGCCAGGTCTAGCGGCAAAATTCTTACCTCTCCTTTGGCGGTAGAGTGGCTTGACGTTGGTGGTTGCGCTGCCGCTGCTTGCCGCGCCGGCAGCCGTCGCCTGCAGCATGGAAGACGAGGGTTCGCTCGACGACCTGCTGAACGCTTGTGGCGACATCGATGACGAGCCAGAGGACGTTCCTCCGCCGCCGGTCGCGTCGCGGACGGCCGAGCGCAAGCCGCCTCCGCCCAATCAGCCACCTCGCACTGCGCCGCCTGCGCCGCCTCTCGACAGGGTGGCAGCCAGCGACCCGGTGGCTGCTTTTACTGGCAAGTTTGGCGCCAACACGGGCGCTGCCAGCACCGTCGGCTCGCGCCCAGCGCCACCTACGGCCGGTACGGAGGGCGCTTCGCGACCGGGCGGCGGTGGTGGTGGCAGGGAAGGCGGCGGCGGCGGCGGCGCGAGAGGCGCGAGAGGCGGCGGCGGCGGCGGCGGCGGCGTCGGCGGGGGCGGCGGCGGCGGCGGCGGTGACGCTGCCGCCGCCAAGGCGCCGGCCGACTTGAGCATCGAGGAGTTCTCGAAGATCAAGATTGAGCCAAAGCGGAGGAAGGTGTGCACGCAGCCGCCCGGGGGCCAAGCTCCGGCAGCGCGCCACCGTCCCCAGCGGCTGTTCCGCCCTGCCCACAGGTCTCTCGCGACGAGCTGAGGACGTTGGCAGCCGGCGCGACTTTCAAGAGGTGGGAGTCGCTGCCACGCCGGCATCACGCATGCGCCTTCTCTGAGCAGGGAGCCCGGTGGTTAGGCTGGAGCCGCTGGCGAGTGGGCGAGACGGGCCGCCGGCGGAGGGGAGTGAGTGGTTCACGATCGGCGTGCTGGTCAAGAAGAGCGACCCGAAGACCGCCAAAAGCGGCAAGGGCTTCATCGTCTGGGAGCTCTCCGACCTCGTCGACCCGTCCGTCACGCTGAACGTGATGCTGTTTGACGGCGCGGGCGGCGCGTAGACCCGGCACCCTGGCCGCTGTTCTGACTCTCCCCCTCCGCTCGGCCTCCAAGGCGCGTACGACTCCAACTACAAGGAGCAGTACGGCATGACCTATGTCCTCCGCCGGCTGACGCTGCTCCCGCCACAGCCCGACGCCCCCTCTCGCCGGCCAATGTACAAGCTGACGGACAAGGCCTCCCCCCCCCCCCCCCCTCTTCAACGAGCTACGCTCTCCCCCTCCACGGGCGCTTGCCGCGGCCGCGTGACCCATCCCGCCGACCCACCTCCTCCCGCGCCGCAGTCGAACATTGTGCCGATCGGCGTCGCGGCGGACTACGGCGTCTGCGGGGAGATGAGCCAGAGCGGGCAGCAGTGCCGCAGCTGGGTCAACGTCTCCTCCCCGTGCGGCGCGGTCTGCGCGTACCACGCATCGCGGAAGCTGCAGCAGATACAGGCCGAGGAGAGGAAGGCGGAGGCGAAGGCTGCCAAGCAGCGCGGCGGCGGCGGCGGCGGCGGCGGCGGCAGAGCCGGAGGCGGCGGAGGCGGAGGCGGAGGCGGCGGAGGCGGAGGCGGAGGCGGCGGAGGCGGAGGCGGAGGCGGACGGCGGACGGCGGCTTTCGGCGCGATGGTGGGGCGGCCGGGCGACTTCCAGGCGGCGCTCGCTGCAATGAAGACGCTGATGGGCTGGGGCCTCTCCCTCGGCCCGACGGGCGAGATGCGGCACGCTCCGGACGGGACGGCGGAGCAGCGCGCGAGCCTGAAGACGTTGGTGACGATGGCGATGGAGGAGAAGGTGGCGCCGCTTCGCCTCCCGCCCAGCCCGACCCCTTGGCGGCGCAGAATGACACAGCCGCCGCATCGGAGCCGCTCTGCACACCAGCCTCCCCCCAGCCTCGCACCCCATCGCGTCTTCACTTGCGTGCGCACTCGCAGGTTGCGTTTGTGCCGCGCGACCCCAACGCGAGCACTCCCGCGCCGAACGCGACGCTCAGTGCTGCCGCCTCAGCGTTCGCTGACGGGGCAGCGGAAGCGAACAAAGCTTTCCATCCCCTGCCGCGGGCGCTCGTTCTCCGCCTCCTCGTCCTGCGACGAGTCGCCGTCGGAGAAGCAGACCTCGCCGCCCCCGCCACTGCCGCCGCCGCCGCCCCTGCTCCCGCCGCCGCTTCCGCCGCGGGCGGCGGGGCCGCGCTGGAGGCGGAGGCCGCCGCCATCGCGCGCGGCGGCGGCGGCAGCAGTGGCGGCGGCGGCGGCAGTGGCGGGGGCGGCGAGGTCTGCTTCTCCGACGGCGACTCGTCGCAGGACGAGGAGGCGGAGAACGAGCGCCCGCGGCAGCCGTCGAGCGCGACGTCCGCTTCCGCTGCGGCGTCTGGGACTGGCGGAGAAGGAGCCGCTGCCGGAGGCGGCGCCGGCGCGGCGCCAGCGCCAACAAAGCCTCCGCTCGCGACGCCTGCGCCCCGACGCGTCCCGAGCCACGCCTCCGACACCACCGGCGTGAAGCCGGATGCGCGGGGGGCGTGTGCCGCGCAGCGCGCGAACCCGCGCGCTGCGCACGGCGTGGCGCGCGACCACAGAGGCGTCGTTGTGAAGGAGGCTTCGACCACCCCGGCCACCGCCTCCAAGAGCGTGGCCGCGACTTCCGCGCTCGCTCCGTTGCCGCCCATTCCGAAGCGCGGCGACGGGCGCGGGAGAGTGCTCCAGACGCGCTCGGTGCCAAGGGCCGACCCCGAGGCGCCAGACGCTGCCCCCCCCCCCTCCACCGGCTCCACCCCGCAACCCAAGCACCGACAGTGGACCGGTGCCGGTGCTTTCCGCCCAGCGCTGCCCCCCTGCCGGCCTCGCAGGAGGAGCTGCTGCTCGACGAGATGCTCGAGCAGCACAAGGCCGACAGGCGCCGGCGGAGACAGGTGGACGCGAACGCCGCTGGGGCGGCCTCTGCAAAGGGGCCCTCCCGTGTTGGAGCAGCCGCTGAGGGCCGCACCGCCAGCAGCGGCGGCCGCGGGGGCAGCGGCCGCAGCGGCGGCGGCGGCGGCAGCGGCGGCAGCGGCGGCGGCGGCGGCGGCGGCGGCGGTGGCGGCGGCGGCGGCGGCGGTGGCGGCGGCAGCGGCAGCGGCGTCAAGCGAAGCAGCGGCGACTTGCGCACGGCTGCGCCCGGGGCGCCTGAGGCGAGAGCGACAAAGGTGGCGCGGGCATCGAGCGACACGATCGCACGCGCGGCGGCGCCGACCGACCGCCGCAGCGGCGGCAGCGGCGGTGGCGCCGTTCCACAGAGCGGCACCCGGCCGGTCGGCGGTGCGGGCAGCGCAGTGTCCAACTTTACGGCGAACTTTGGTGCCGTCGACCCCGACAGCCGAGCGGGGCAGGCGCAGCTGGGGCGCAAGTCTGCGGGCGAGGCAGAGGTGGCGGCGGCCTGAGCGAGCGCTTGCGCTGTCCCGAGGCTCCATTTGGCAGCGGGAGAGTTGCGCTGGTAGGTCGTGCAGGCCGGGCGGTTGGCTCTGCAGAAGAAGCTGGGCGCCCTCGAGACGAAGGACGACCTGACGAGCAAGGCGGCCACGCGACTAAAGGTGGACGTGACGGCCTTCCGCTGCCGCGAGTGCGAAGCCCTCCCGCGCCCCTCGCCTCGGCAGCCGAGAGGAGGCTGCTCTCACCGCGGCCGGGCTTTCGCTGCAGGTGCGGCTACCTCTCGCAATCGCGCAGTTCGCTCTGCGAGCGGGAGGGCCACGACGTGAGGAGGCTGCAGGCCGTCAAGCGCTTCTTCGAGTGCGGCGGCTGCAAGGGCCGCATCTCGCTCCTCAACCAGCGGCTGCCGGAGACCGCGTGCACAAAGTGCGGCGGCAAGTTCCACAGCTGCTCCGTCACGCGCGAGAAGCTTGCAGCCGCGCCCTCGGACGAGTTCCTCGCGCGGGGCATCGAGCACGGCCGATTCCTCGGCGCGGACGGCCCGCGCGCTGGGGCTGCCGGTGAGGGGCGCGAGGCTGGCGGCGGCGCGGCGCAGCACCACCGGCGCGCGGTGGTCGATGCCGGCCGCGCGAACGCGTTTGCGGCGCAGGTGCCGCTTCACGACGGACCCGATGACTGACGGAGGATGCGCCGTGTCCTGGCCGTGTCGCAGCAGACCGCGCAACAACTCGATAACGAGAGACGGATGGGGTTGCCACCGCAGAGCTGGACTTCCGCCGCCACAGCACCAACAGACTGAGCACGCGTAGCTGTTCGTATGACTCTCCTGGAAGTGGATGGTTTCGTGTCTCGTCGTCCTGAGCGGCGCTGAGCATGATTATGTGAGCGAGTCAGAGTCAGTGGCGGTCACTATTACAGTTAGGCCGCAACGTACCGACGAGTCAAAACGAAACTGATCTCTGATGCAGTGTGTGCATATACACTCCCTTTCTCGAGAATTATGACACATATATTCAACCAGACAAAAACGAATAAGGGAGACACCACTACGACTAGATATGCGAAGCCGTTCAGGCGCCATGGGGCACGAGCCGCACAAAGCCGAACCCATGCTGCTTGAACGCAGCCTCCAGCACGGCGCTCTGCTCCTCGCCCGTGCTCAGTCCGACCACCGCGCCGCCCGAGCCCGAGAACTTGGCCGGGGCGCCGTGCGCCGCGGCGAGCTCGACCATGGCAATGTTGTCGGCGCCGAGGCACGCGTCGCCGTACACGGCGCGCCGCAGCCGAAAGTTCTCGCGCATGGCGTCGCCGAGGGCGGCGGCGTCTCCCGCGAGCAGCGCCTCCCTCGCGCGGTCCGTCAGCGACGCGAAGCTCGCCATCGCGTCGACGACCGCCGCCTCGCCCGCCAGCCAGCGCGCCTTGACATCCGAGTGGATCTTGCCAGAGTTGGACGGGTCCTTGACAAAGGCGAGCCAGAGCGGCGGGAGAGTGGCGGTCGGGATGCGCGAATAGTCGCCGTAGCCGCGCCCCTCCAGCAGCTCCTTTGCGAAGTCCATGAACATGCAGCCCTCGTACGCCTGTATGACGCGGTCCTGCAGCCCGGCGGTGATGCCGAGCTCACCGCTCTCGACGCTCAAGACAAAGGAGGGCCGCAGCGGCAGCGGCATCTGCTCATCGCTGACCTCGAAAAAGTGGAGCAGGCAGCGCAGCGTCGCCGTGATAATGGCCGACGAGCCGGCGAGTCCCACCTGCCGCGGGATGTTGGTGTCGTAGGAGAGCGTGAAGTTGCGTGACGGCAGCACGAGATGCCGCTCGGCGCAGTACTCGTGGAAGCGCTTGCACGTGGCCTGCAGCAGCACAATACCGCCCTGGTACCCGTCCCGCGCCAGCGCGCCGTGCAGCTCGGCCAGCGACGTGAAGCCAGAGGTCGCGTCGCAGCGCGGATTGGGAGTGAAGGTGATGGCGTCAGACATGTGAATGGCGACCGTCGCGCAGAAGTTCTCGACCGCCACAGCGATCGTCTTTCCGTGGAAGCCGTCCGACGGGTTGCCGACGAGGCCGACCCGGGCGTACGCGGTCGCAGAGAAGGAGGTTGGCGCCGCCATAGGCTGCGAAAAACGAAAGTCTGGCAAAGAAAAAATACGAGTCACTATTAACAACGAAGGCGCTCTCAAAGAAAAAATACTAAAAAAGAAAAATCTGCCGCGGCGGCCGCCTCGTCCGCAACCTTTTGGGCGGCCGCCGATCGGCTTGCCGCCGCCCGTGCCTCTGCAGCGCACCTCTCCGCTGTCTGTGCTTCAGCCTCGCGCCGCTCCGCCGCAGCAGCCAGCTCGTCCTTTGCAGCCGCCACCCGCGCCTTGGCTGCAAGCTTGTCCTCTTAAGCGCGCGGTCGGTGGCGGCGGCGATTATTTCAGGTGTCGCGATCGGCGCACGCGACAACAAAGCACGCGAGCGCGGACGCTGCGCTCGTGGGCGCAAACATGGGGCGACGTTCAGACCACTAGCTTGGAGGAGGAGGAGGGTGCTGACGACGGCAGTGATGCCGAGGCTCATTCGCGTCATTTCGAGAAAAGATGAGCATTTCGTCCGTCCAATCGAAGGACGCGCCGGATCGCCCATGTTATGGCGTTGCCTACGCGGCCATCGTCGCCTCGCTCGACCCGCAGTGCGTGCGCTTCAAGACAATCATCACCGAGCAGGGGCAAATCCCGAGCGAGCGCACCTCGAGTGGCCGGCCCACGCCCGGTGCTGTCGTGCAGCGGCAGGAGATCGTGGGCTCGCTCGAAGAGTCCATGAAATCGCTCTTTCGCGACTTTGTCAGCGCGGACTGCTGGCGCACGGGGGGCCGCCCGCCCAAGCGCATTATCTTTTTCCGCGACGGAGTGGCGCACAACCAGTTCGAGGAGGTGACGAGGCAGGAGATCGCGCAGATTCGGCGCGCGGCCGACGCCATCTGCGGCGAAGCATACAAGCCACAGCTGATCTTTATCGTGACGCAAATGCGCACGAAGGCGCGCTTCGCCATCCAAGGCGTGGCGCCGAGCAAGGGAGGCGGTAAGGGCGGCGGTAAGGGTGGCGGCAAGGGCGGCGGCAAGGGCGGCGGCAAGGGCGGCGGCAAGGGCGGCGGAAAGGGCGGCGGAAAGGGCGGTGGTCCACCGGCGCCGGGCGTCGAGGACTGGCTCAACGTCAGTTCAGGCACGGTGGTGGATCGCGATGTCACGGGTAAAGACGCCTTCGACTGGTACATGGTTCCGCACCACGCGCTGCAGGGCACCGCGCGCGCATCGCACTACCACGTCCTGAGCAACGACGCGAAGCTGAGCGCGGACAAGCTGCAGCGCTTCACCTTCGACCTGTGCCACGTGTATGGGCGCGCGACCAAGATCGTCTCGCGGCCGGCGCACGTCTACTATGCGCACCTGGCGGCGTTCAACGGCCCGTTCTACAGCTCAGACTTCCGCGACACCGCTGGCACCGACTGGTGCGAGGTCGGCTCCGTGGGCAGCCACGGATCCAGCCAGAGCGCCACATGCGGCGCCCTTCACCCCAGTCTGGCGGACACCGTTTACTATGCGTGAGCCCGCTGGGGAGGCCGGGGCTAGAGCCCGCGGACCTCACACCCGACATCCCAGCAAGAGAGATGCGGCGGCGCGCGCGCTGAGCGAGAGCGAGAGGGTTTGTTCCTCACAATTTGTTGTGAAGACAGAGCTCTCGGACGTCGGAGCGACACGGAGGGGCCTGGGACCTTTTGAGGCGCGCTGCGCAGCACTGTGTGATCGTATGTTGACACTCCGTTGTGCGAAGTACTCTATGTTTGTAATAAAAGATTAACAAAAAGACGAACTCTCTCGCAGCTCGCACAGCACACAGGTTCGACACAGGTACCAAAAGAGGCACAGCCTGCGACGGACCTTTAGAAGGCGCCGTCGTCCTCATAGAGGTGGGCACGATCGGGGGGGACAGTCGAATCCGCGAGCAGCGTAGTGCTCGCCGAAAAGACCATCCCCATCATCCCAACCCCCCCGGCGACCCCCTCGCCGCTTGCCCCGCCAGCGGGCACTGCGCGACCCACCCCCGCGCCCTCGACCGCGCCCCCCGCCAGGAGCATACCGCATCACCTTCGCCCGCTCCTCGTCGAAGAGAAGAATCTCTCCCGCCTTCACCGCCTCCTTCCACCCCTCCACGCAGCGGCCTTCCTCCTGCAGGCACATGCTTCGAGTCCACAGCACCGGCCCTCCGTCGCAGACTTCCGGCACAGCGTCCAAAGCCGCCCTAAACCTAGGGCAGCGCGCCGCGTCCCATGCCGCCTTCTCAGCCGCCTGGATAGCCGCCCACTGGGCAACCGAGTAGTGGGAGGGGCGAGATTGGCGAGCAGTGGGAGGGCCGTCCGGCTCGGCGCCGCGCGCCGCGCCCGAAACCGCCCCCGCTGCCTCCTCCTCGACCTCCTCGTCGGTTGCCGTGCCCACCGCCTGCTCCTGGGATAAATCTGTCTTCTCTCCTCAGTCAGCGCACTCGGAGCAGGACCCGCAGCCATTCCAGTTGCACAGCTCCCCCCACCCCTGCGTTTTCTCCACGCAAAACGGCTTGCACTGGGGCGGGGGGGTGGCGCACTCGGAGCAGGACCCGCAGCCATTCCAGTTGCACAGCTCCCCCCACCCCTGCGTTTTCTCCACGCAAAACGGCTTGCACTGGGGCAGGGGGGTGGCACACTCGGAGCAGGACCTGCAGCCATTCCAGTTGCACAGCTCCCCCCACCCCTGCGTTTTCTCCACGCAAAACGGCTTGCACTGGGGCAGGGGGGTGGCACACTCGGAGCAGGACCCGCAGCCATTCCAGTTGCACAGCTCCCCCCACCCCTGCGTCTTCTCCACGCAAAACGGCTTGCAAGAGGCTGGAGGTGCTGACGGTGATGGCAGCGTCGGTGGCGGCGGCAATGGTGGCGGCGGCGTAGGTGGTGGTGGGGCGGGCGGTGGCGGCGAGGGCGGTGGTGGCATGGGCGGTGGCGGCGTCGGTGGCGGTGGTGACGGTGGCGGCGGCGTGGGTGGCGGAGGAGCTGGTGGCGGCGGCGAGGGCAGCGGCGGTGAGGGCGGCGGCGGCGTCGGAGGCGGTGGCGAGGGTGGCGGCGGCGTAGGTGGTGGTGGGGCTGGTGGCGGCGGCGAGGGTGGTGGCGGCGTAGGCGGCGGTGGGGCGGGCGGTGGCGGCGTCGGTGGCGGCGGTGACGGTGGCGGCGGCGTGGGTGGCGGAGGAGCTGGTGGCGGCGGCGAGGGCAGCGGCGGTGAGGGCGGCGGCGGCGTCGGAGGCGGTGGCGAGGGTGGCGGCGGCGTAGGTGGTGGTGGGGCTGGTGGCGGCGGCAATGGTGGTGGCGGCGTAGGCGGCGG